AAGGCGGAGAGAGAGAGAGAGAGAGAGAGAGAGAGAGAGAGAGAGAGAGAGAGAAAGAGAGAAGAGGAGAAGGAAAGATAAAGACTCAAGATTGGAGTAATGGAGGGAGAGAGAAATCGCGGTGCACGTGTAGCGAGTTGACGGCCGAAAGGACCGGACGTTGACCGATTGAAAATGGACAGTGTGTATCGCACATGGAGGATGAATGTAAAAGTGAAAGACAGAAAGGGAATGAGAGGGAGCAAGATAGAGAAAAAGACGCACGCACACAAAGAGAGAAAGGCGTCGCTCTGGAAAGAGAGCGCAAAGCGCTGTCGATGCCATGCGAATCTTGACATACGAGACGCCAGGCGTCCTTCGGACGATGGTGGATCTCTCGACGGCCTCTTTGAGCACCGGATACGTCAGCTCCCTCGACCCTTCCGCGTAGCCGCTACAAAGATACGTCACGAAATTGAACAAAGAGCATGTGTGACATAATCGGTGAGATATATTGTGCATATTCCACGTGTCATACATAAGTAGAGTTAGATTGTACGTAACATTTTTCGAGTGAAAAATGAATATCAATGTTTCGTTTTTAAGTAATTCTCGCCATACGCTTAAGTTTCGTATTTTTCTTTTAAAAGTTGTTCCATCTGATCGTTACGTAATTTTATTCCGCGTGCATTTCATACTAAGAACTGCATACACGTTGATATTTATTATTACTGGCCAACGAGTTAATTGTAGTAAACTCGGTAATAATATTCTTCTTATTATTATCTGAATACGATTGCCTGGTTAATTTTTTCATTTATTTCCAAAAAATTTTAATTTCAATTTGTTGCTCTCTGGAAATGCGCAATGATTAACGAAAATGAAGTTGGAGAGAAAAAGAAATATCGCATCAGCGATCTTGTAAAACGCCATTTCAAGTTAATTGATATACGCCACGCTAATCTCGCTTTGCGTGATATATCAATAACAATCGTTCGACGACAGTCTTTTCGCACTTTACATCCGCACGAAGTATTGCCACCGCGCGTTAATCAAGCCTCCTATCGCTCGCCGTATAATGTTCCTTTGATTGCCGCTATTTATCTATTATAGCGGACGTACGAATTAAAGTGTTTAGATTCTGTTTTCCTTTCGCGAACGAGGACGACGATTGGAGTCTGGGAGCCTGGAATTATCTCCGGCAAGTCGTCGCTCGGCCACGCGGAATCTCGCGCCGGGACCTGGGTGTTTCTTCTCTTGCGTTTCTTACTCTTTTTAAGCTTGCTACTGGTTTTGCGTAAGGCAGATGCTTTCTATTTTTATCCTCCCCCTTTCTCCCAAAACAAGAAATAAGATACGTAATATCGCACATACAAAGTTGTATGTAATTACGGGTCGTTATTTAAATCGCCCGAGTGACCTCGATCCACTTCTTCCTCCTCTTCTTTTTTTTTATTCTTCTTTTCTTTTTTGCATCCGTTTCTTTACGCGTGCGACGGCCAGGCGATTATCATTGGTGGACTGAGCTTACGAATCACGCTTCTCTTCTGTTTTCGTCTCCCATAGCGCGCGTATATGTCTCTCACGCGAAAGAAAGTCACGCGAAAAATTGTTCGTGTTGTATCACAGCGATCAATTTAATTGCAGTCTAATGCCCGTTTATACCAATGTAGATTAACTTTGATCTCAGTTTAATGTACTCTTCATCTTTTTCTAATTTTAAGAATTGAAAAAAGATAAAGAGTAAATTGAATCGAGATTAAAGTTTATCTACATTAGTGGAAATAGGCAACGGAAAATATCCTTTAACGGAACAATTGCATAATAAATTCGAGGTTTTTAACTTTTGAAATATTTGGAGAACATATCTTTGAAAAAAAAACTATTGTTACTTTGATTAAAACTTTTTTTTATTCGAAGTAAAAAATTTTTTTGCGTGAAATGTATATTACAATTAGAGAGTGAATAGTATTTATACTTTGATGGTAATTTCTTTATTTCTGCACGCTTATGTAAAATATCCAAAAGGGAGAAAACCTATAGAAAACCTAGAAAAAAATGTACATATAATATAGAATGAGTTATTTAGTTTTTTGCGATGTAAATTTATGTATTAGGAAACATGATAGCGTCTCGCGCCAAATATATAATTTTTCGTTCGTCTTTTTTTTATGAAAAAGACTCTGCAGCGTATGCTCTGCAGGATGAAGAATAGTTTTATAGAAATAAATATTAACGTTATTCTTTTTAAATAAATTTTATATTTTATACAATATATAAACCTAAGAAACATGCAGTTTTCAAATTTTAGTAACTCTTAACTGACTATTGTACAGCTCAAACATCCTTAAAACTTAAAATTAACTATAATTAAAGAAAATATTACACGCATGGTAGTAAGTGCAATTTATCTTGTAATATTTCAACATAATTTAATTGGTATAGAGAAAATCTCAATGAATTCTAAAGTTATATAAGATATACAGATAAGACATAATATTATTGAGCACGTGGAGTCCTCTTGATCTTCAAAGTACATTGCGGCGAATTAATTACAAAGACTCTATTGTGCGATGCTAATGCGAAACTGTTCGAACATCGTATGCGAAATTTCGTGGACAGTAACAGATTATACAGATAGACATAGTAAATATATTTATCCTTATATTATTATAATATTTTTCCTTATAATATTTTCTTTTCGCTCAGTCGTTGTTCTCACACAGGAGATATAAAAAAATATAATTCAAAAGCCTTTTCCTTTTCTTCATTTCTACTCTATCACTATTCATAATTTTTCAATCTCGAATCTACGTTACATCTTTATGGATTTATGAAATATATGATTGAATGATTGAAGAGAGGGAAACATAATTCATGAAGCGTAAATAAACGATTATTATTTTCTTTCTAAGTAATTAATGTATACCCTTTTAGTCATTTTCAAAAGAAAATATTCGAATAATATATTTATTATAAATTTACAAATATGATACGATACAATTTCTTGCTAGAACCACACTAGACAAACTAGTAAAGCATTCACTCATTAAGTGTCAAATTTTGATTTAATTAACTCTTTTTTTTACGGTTTTCTAATTTCTCAAAAATACAATCAATTGTTCAATTCCGGATTAAAATAAGTATTTTACTTTTTTTCGGAATAAATGAATAAAATTATAGTTCAATAGAACAATAATTGACTCGTAAATAAACAAGTAGAAGTTCAGATTAAGGTCAACGTATGTGAATGCATAATATGTGATACAACGATTTTTTTTTTTCTTTTTACTTTTGCGTTTTAATTTTTTCCAATTCGATTTATAAGTACTTATAACTAACAATAAGTATCAGGATCGACCGTGGAGTGTTACAATTGAGATACGAAAACGCCAACATGATACAAAGCGGATCTTGGTGCTTGATGATATTATAATATATATGACTCTTATATACAATTCTCAGTTCTGCAGGCAAATTGAGCGCCGAAAAATCGTCGGTCTTTAAAACGCAATTCCGAACCGAATAGTCCGTAGTGTCACAATTAAATTGCCAAGGCAATCTAATAATTCGATGCTCATAGAGCATCTTTTTAAATTCTGTGAAAAATAACTTATTGCGAAAAGTATTCTCTCAGCCAGGATTTTAACCTGGATCTCCGCGGTAAGGAGATCCAGGTTCAAATCCAGGTTAAAATAATATTTTTTGCAATAAGTTATTATCACAGGATTTAAAAAGAATTAGATTGCCTCGGAAATTTAATTGTGATGTTACGTACTATTTGATTTGGAGCTGCGTTTTAAAGACTGACGAGTGTGACCGTGTTGACGTTTTCGCATCTCAATTACTTATTATCATTTATTATTAAAGGTCTTACAATTGATTGTTTTCAAATTCTTTTATATCAGATGCGTTTCAAAGATGAAAAGGAATTCCTCAATTGACATCAGTCTGTACCATTAAAAAAAAAACATAATATAAGTAATATAATATATAACATATATAATAGAAAGAAAATGTGCTTTATCGCACAATTACCCTATTTATTTTCTTTCGAATGATATATAAATCGATATCAAGATGAAAAAATTGAAAGATCAAATCTTATTAAGGTGTAAGCGACGACACGAGAAAAACAGGGCACTCCTGGGGGAACTACAGGGTCACGAAATTAGGCTTTTCTCCTTTTCAGGCCACTATCCCTCTCACGCGATACTTCTGCAGTTCTGTGTTTCGCCTACGAATCTTGCGCGAGTGAATGTTCGCGTTCACGCGGCGTAATTTTGAGACGTAGTCCGTTTGCGCTGACCAGTACCAATTCGGATATGAAGCGTAATTGCTCCTCTCTGTCGAGAGCCTCCACGTGGAAGGCTTTCAACATGGATAAGATCGCCACTTTAATCACCAACGTGGCGAACTTCCAGCCGATGCAGTTGCGCGAGCCGGCGCTGAAGGGGACGAAGGCGTAAGGCGGTAACTTGGGACCGTCGGGCAAAAATCGCTCCGGACGATAAATGTGCGGCTCGGGGAAGTGACGGGGGTCCCGATGCAGCAAGTACGAGTTGATGAGAACCGTCGAGCCCGGTGGGATTTGATTGCCCACTAAAATTCGATAAAAGTGCTTAATTTCGTATATGTGAAAAGGAATTTATGTGCGTCACGCGATTGTTGGCTGAGCGATAGCAATAGCTATTTATATATTTTAAAGTTCGTTATCCGACAATTACTTGATGAAATAGTAGCTTTATTAATATCGATTAATCGATAATTACGGCAATTTTGATTAATATGAAATAGTGTAACGCGTTGAAATAATATTTTAGAAATGGAAGATACGTGAGGTACGTACTTATTTCAATCGGCTTGTAAATTTGCCTCGCAATAAGCGGAGCCACTGGAAATAGTCTCCACTGCTCTTTGATGCACGCCTCCAGCCATGTTAATTTTTGTATGTTTTCTAACGTAATTTCACCCGAGCCCAATACATCGTTGTATTCTTCCAGAATTTTTTCCTAAAGGAAAAACAAAGAAACGCTACAGTTAAACCAATGGAAAAAAATATAGTTTAAAAAATATAGAAAAAGGAGATAAATTTAAGTTTCAACTAAATCTGTACACTAAAAAGTAATTTTAAGAAGCGTATCTAAAATGCGCACGAGATGCAAAAATATAAAATATCTTCTTTGTTTAAGATTGTCCAAAATTATACCAGAGATACAACGAAATGCCAATTGATCCATTAGATTTTGTCATCTATTGAGTATAGAAATTGAAGTATGCGATAATGCAAAGGATATACCTGATATTGGGGATATCGTCCCAGCGCGTAAAGGGTCCACGATATGCTGGTGGCCATCGTGTCGTGGCCAGCGTACATAAAAGTGTTCACCTCCTCTCGAATGTCCTCGTCCGAAAGGACAGTGCCGTTATGTGACATTTCCAATAGCAAATCGAGCAGAGCTCGCCTCTTCTTTGTCGGATCATTAAAATTGCCATCGCACTTGTGTTTCCACTCGATCTTCCTTTCTGCAATTACCTGCAGATTAAATTGTTCTTGATATCATTGCATACAGATTCGCAAATGTGATGTCGAAAAACATATTTTAAAATTTCTTTATCGTTTCGAGAATGGACGTTTGAAAAAAATCTAAGATTGAATTTACTGTAGACCTTTTAGGAAGTCAGAAATAACGATGTTTCCTTTATATAATGTATACACGACAAGATAAGAGCAATCGCGCTGAAAAAAAAAGATAGGTATTTCTCTTTTTGTTATACAAGTCTAATTTATCTAAAGTTATCTAAAATTTGAAACAAACCTATTCAAATCGAAATTTCAGTGATTAATTTTGTTTATAAAACAGTAATGAGATGGCAAATAATCTCATGTATTCATTAAACCCTGTTTATTATTTTGGCTAATGATAGCCTGCAAGATTTCTCGTGAAATTGGAGTACGAAATTATAGCTATCTTCTGTTGAAAGTAGCTCTAATTATCTGAATTTATTTCACTTAATTATATATAGTATATAATTATCACCTTATCGACGAATTCCTGTATTACGCGAATCGAGTTGTCGTGCTCTTGTCCCGCCTTGGTCAGCTTGAAGACCGAATCCGACGATAGCCACACATTCACGAAACGCATCTGCACAATAGACGCAATCCTGCAAATTAGGAATAGAAAATTTTTTTCAAATAAAATTCGGCTTATATATTGCATTAAAATTGTGTCAAAAGCATACAGATATAAGTATTTTTAAATGAATCATGAACTTACTTATCTATAGCCTTGATGTACTCGTTCTTGGAATTCTTCTGCGCGTTAAGCTTGTAGCCCATCGCAGTATCTGAAATAAAATTAGTAAAATTAAAGATTAAAGAGTAAAATTAATGAGTTATTAAAAGTACTAAACTAATTATTATTATTAATAAAATTATTAAAATTGAGTTTAGATAAAATTTTCTAATTTATGTATTATTCTAATATGTGTTATGTAATTTTACAATATAATTTAACAGTTTAATAATTGACGTACATAGCGTGCGTGAATAAATAATTATCTACAAACTTCAAAAGTATCATGATATAAGTATTATTGTTTTAATGATATACTAAATTAATTATTTACGAGAGTGTTCAAAACAATGATATGCGATTTATCACGCTGATGAAAATTAGATGTTAAACTGTGTGTTTAACTGTCATTATGATAATTGGTGTTATCCACTTTACGAATGGTGTAATGTAGATAACACATACATATATATGTGAAAGGCGTATTTATTTCAGAATACGTGAAAAATTTTAATACCGTTCCGTCGAAACATTTGCGATCAGTATAGACAATCGGTGATCGGCGATAATTGATTATTCATCTTTTTTTCTTTTGTCAATTCAAAAATTCGAATTAAATGTGTAGACGTAATAAGTATAGCATTCCCCATCTTCTGATGTTTAGCATCTGTGCTCTGTTAGAGAGAAGAAGCATTATATTGAAATACGTGTCAGATCATTTCTCTTTAACATTACATTACTATTAATTCATTATCATTACTATTAATATTTAGGCTTGATTATGATTGACCAATGTTATTTTAATTTTAAGTTTAAAACTGTCTGTCTCTCTTTAAAACCTTAAGAGAGAAAAAAAGAGAAATTTAAAATAATAATTATACAGGACAAAGAGCCAAGTTAGTTCTTAATGCTAATCATTATATTCTTATTAAAAAAAAATAATAATATCAGATAATATAATATCATACGAGAAAAAGAGAATTTTAAACCTCGCTTAAAGTCTAAATAACGATCTAATCGAACCTTAGAGAAGAAAGCGTTACAGACACAGCTAAGCTTTTCGCTCTTCCTAAACCGATAGTGACAACTTCATTGGGAGATGCGCAGTTTTATACATTTACGTTTATGAATAAATGAGTCAGATCAATAAAAGCATAAGAAACCTGAAAAAAAATGTAACGGATAATTAAATTACCGCAGCCGCGATATGTCAAGTTACTGAGACGCATGGTTACGTCGATCGTGTAATCTGAGAATCTGCGGTTCGCTCAAGTCGAAATAAATGGATCATTCTTGTGTCAAGGCGCAATTACTTGATTCGCCAAAGAAAAATAAATTGGATACGACGAAGTTACTTCAAGAATCTGCACGGTAATGTTTACCGTGATGTTGATAACGGGTCGTTTTTTTTTATAACACAAATTATCAACACACGAAGTATTGTTGTAATATTGATAGCGGGAAAGAGGCGCAAGAGATATTTTTACGCCCGCAGTCGTATCAGCGTACGAATAAGGGTGAAGTCCCATGAGGCGCGTGTATTTGCCGCGTATCGCGTAACCGCGTAATCAATCAGAAGCGATCTGTTGTTTTTGTTTCGCGTTTCTCGCCAAGCAGATCGCTTCCGATTGGTTACGCGGTTACGCGATACGCGGCAAATACGCCTCATGGGACTTCACCCTTTCTCAAAACGTTCGAGTACGTATTTTAATTGGGGCAACTGAAGGCCGCTATACATCAGGCGGCAATCTTTTGTCGCATCGTTTGTATCGAGTTCCCCTCTTTATATGCGTTAATATTTATATCAACATCTTCTTTCTCGGACATATCATTGTTTTTCAAGCGTCATTTCGCGCAATAAGAATGCGCCAAATGAATTCGTGTCGAATAAAAATATTTCCGTTCTTATCAATCGTTCGAAGAGAGATCAAGTCTTTGCGAGGTCTCGCAGGGATTTTTTTCGAAAACCTAATGGTGGATTATACTGTTAATAACGTGCTAATGACTCACTTGACTTCGGACGTCAGCCGTGGCATGTGAGATCTGCACACTATTTAAATGGAAAAATAAATTACGAGCGCCGAAAAAAATGAGGAAACGACAGTGGTCGCCATATCGGTTTAGCAATACGAACTCGAACAGAGGCGCCGTTATTATCAAACTGGACTGGCAGTAGAGTCTTCGATTTAGCTCGCTCCGATTTGCTCGCGAATCCCGGCGTAAGTCATCAAGGCTTAACGAAAGGCGTTCATTAACTAATGATTGAATTTTTAGAGATAAACTCTCAGTGCTTGTATTTCTGAAAAAAAATGTTCAACGTTATATTGAAAAATCAATACACGCTCAATTTCTTTTAACAGAGCTGAACACTTCTGTATATAAAATAACCGAATATTTTAATAGAATTCTGCTAAAAATAGTAAAAATGATTGTTTATTTGTAATGAAGTTAGTTAATATGTTCGTGTAATTAGGCAGTCCGGAAATGATTTTGATGAGGTCACCGTGCTTAAACGATAAATTATTATTAGCACCGTGCTAAATTGTACTCGTTGCTAAATAACTGCACTCATCGATAATACGCCTCTTCGGTAAAAAATATGTTGTAGCGTCTCCCTCGTGGAGTTGCTACATTTCCATGAATATTTGACGTAAAACACGTTACCGCGCTCCTGTTAAACTCACCGCATATAATGTCAAGGGCGGCACGTTTCGCGTAAGGAACCACGTCGAACCATTTGCCCACTTCTTTCTCCAAACAGGAAATTAGGATGCTCGTCTCTTCTTTCACGGTCTTCAAGTATACCTCGAGAAGACCGCTGTGGAAGGTCGGTGTCAGCAGCTTCCTGCGGAAGTGCCATTTCTCGCCTGAAAAAGATACGCATCATATGTAATTTTTATTGTATAGCCACACCAACGGTAAAAAAACAAACTATAACAAACTATAAAAATAATCTGTATATAATCAAATTGCAGCTCTTTTTTCTGAACAGCGATCTAAAATCTTAGATCGCTCGCTGTCTAAAAAATTTACAAAAATTAAAGAAATGGCATGTAATTCAAGTAATATTTTATATTGGCAAGAAATTGGCAGTTTTACGCTATGATACGCAAAAGAGGCAAAATAAAACTATTATTTCTAGGTCAAGAATTAAATAACATTCAATGAATCAGCGATAAATGGAAAGAGTGCGCAAGTATGACAAAGAGCTATATATATGATTAGCATTGTATGAGAAGAATCGGAATTGAGCGCGATCGAACAGAGATAATTTTCAATGGAAAATTATAACAAATCTTACAACTGACATTCTGTTTCTGAACATAATCCTTTTGTCAATTTGAGTTACCTTTTTTGATAAAATAAAAAAAAATTGCATTATTCAAAATGACTAGTTATGATAAAAAAAATGCAACGTCTGAAATATTTTTAAATCAATTTATGATTCATGAATAATCATAAATATGCGAAAGACACATCGATAGATGTATCTTCCGCATATTTTATCTTTATCGAGCAGGTCGTAAATATAAATTATTTATCGATTTCAATTGCAGAGCAAACTTTTCGCACACAATGTGTAACAGGTCACTTACGTAATAAAAGTCCCACTGAATATTTTTTCAGAACATCATCTTTCTAATACATTTTCTTTTGTAAAATCGATAGCATCTATGTAAATTAACGGCCGTATTCTTCGGCAAAAAATGAAATATGTAAGTTTATTGAAATGAGAGAAAGAGAAAAAGACAGAAATATTCTAAAAACACATTGTAACCACGTGTTAAGAAGGTCGAACAGATTACAATTCGCATACAAGAATTTAAATACTTTTAGATTTTAGGTATTCAAATATTTTCAAAGAGCACTAAGCAGCAACGCTGAAAGAACTCGCTTGATCTAAATTGATAATCATATAAGGTCGACTTTAAAATAAATCCTTAACTACATGCTTATCTTTTTCACGAGCGGATAAGATTTATTCAGAGAGAAATTCGATTCAACATTGCAACATCGAAAATGTTACGATGTTGCTTTGGCAAAAGATACTATTATTCACAATCAGTTACAAGTAGCACGTGTCTTTCACGTGCCACATGAGAGCCTTCGTTGAACATGTGCTAATGATTTCTAAACAAAAGTCGTCAATTCCAAAGTTTTCAGTTTCAAAGATCCAAAGACAAAGTAGATAAAATATATATAAATACAATGTTCTGTCAATTTTACGAGACTTTAAATCTCACGTGTTAGTTTATAGATTCTAATCAACCTTTAATTTAAATTTTACATTTAAACTTGAATATGTACATTTTTATTTAAATTATAAATTAAAGATATATTTTTATAATAAAAAAAGCAATAAGATTTTCTATCAAGTATTTTTCTGCCTGACTAATTTTAAAAATAGCTGGTAGTTTGCCAGTCATTATTAATAATCATCTTGAAATAGCACACTTAAACAGTCTGGCATGCCTATCATGCAAATCATTAATTCACAACCTGCCTGAGGTTAAAAAAGTGTAAAAAAGAAAAATAATTTTAGTATGCAAAAGTTGAAGACAATTCAGAAATTAATGTGGGATTTGACAGCCGAAAGATCAATCAAAATTTTATCCGTTTCATATACGTACCTAAAATTTTAATATCAAAATAGAGTCACTATTAATCCAATAAATAATGTAACTCTTTAATTTATTTTTAAGAGTTAATAGCAATTTTTATTGTTTAAAGTTCTCAGATGTGTAATATTTTTTGGATTTTATGTTTTTAAAGAATTTCTTCAAATCAATAGGATTTAACAATTTAAATGTTATGTATATAGCAACTACATATGAGAGATACAAGATTGTATTGTATTTAGAAACATAAATACTCTATAATAACAATTTTTCTTCAGAACGCAAAAATCTTTTACATGATGTAATATTTATATGAATTTTCGCATAGATTTACTTATAATATATATTTTGTGTATATTTGCTCATAATATATATTTCATTCAATATATATTTATACACGGATTGAACAGCAATTACAATACATCGCATCCGTTCGTATGAACGAATTATCATAAATCTATGAATCCATTTATTCACTGCGCAGTATTTATCGTATGCATTTATACGTATTAATGCTGTTTATCTCATGCAAATCACAAAAAATGTAATTCAAAGTTACCATATAATTCAAAGTCTGTCTTGAATACTTTATCCATGATCATTTCTTCGATGTGTGACAATTATTGATCTCCGTCACCGTCATAAATGCAACCTTGGTTTATGAGACGTCACTTACCAGTGCTGGTTACTAGGCCTTCTCCCAACCAAGGCTTCAAGTACTGATATTCGAGACTCTTGTCGATGTGCACGCTGCTGCTGAGCAGGGGTTGCACCGCCTCCACTCTGTAGAGAAAGATGAAGGGCCGCAGGCCGACCCAGACCAGATAAATATCGCCAAATTGATACGCCCATTTTATCAGCTTCTGGAAGAAGTCTGAAACAGACAAATCGCCGAAACGAATTTTAGACAAATACGTAAAATCGTTCTAATATAGGTTTCAAGTCGATTTGACTCATCACTAAAAGCGGAAGTCTAAAAATTCAGCCATAGTAAGATTTTTTATTAAATCGTTCTTTTATTTAATAAATTGCTGTCGCATAATTGATAATTACATGGAATGTTGATACTTTCGCCGATTCGCATACATGTAGGTATAGCCACCGCTTACGATGGAAACTTCGTTCCGTAATTCAAGATATTATATTCTTTCCTCCACCGTATGCGATTACCGATCACATTACAGTTGAGCTCGGAAATAGCAGTATAAATATATGTATATTAGCGGGAATAGCAGTATATATTTAATTTTGTAATTATAATTTCATTAATAATTCTCTTGCCTTCTCTTGCCTCTCCGGCCTTCTCTCCCGTCAATGCGCATTAATTCTCGAAGGCCAAAAGCAAAAACCGTGGATAAAAATCAGTTAATTATTTTTATCTACTTTCTTGCTTCTGTTTATTGACCTGTGTGAGCCAATTCTTAAAGAAATCATATCAAACTAAAGAGATTAATTTATTACTCGGAATTTCGTTTGCAATGTTCGACAGCTTCGTATCAGCATCGCACAATGGTGTCTTTATAATTAATTCGCCGCACTTGCAATTTGAAGATCATAAGGATGATTCCTCGATCCACACATGCACAGTAATATTTTTATATAATTTTAGAATTGATTTATTGAGATTTTATTTCTATTGATTAAATTATGTTGAGTAAATATTAATTAATAATAATAATTATTTTAAATTAATATATATATATATATGTATTATGTCTATTATTATATATAGTAGAATTTCCAGATTTGTTACAAAAGTCACAGAATCGGGTATCATCGCGGCTACCTGATAGTAGACAAGGAGAAAAATAGAAAAATGTAAAGTAGTAAAACGTAAGCAGTAAGCAAAGCGGCCAATCACAATAGAAAACTTAAGGCAAGAATCTTACGTTCTTTACCGTGATTGGCCAATTCACTTACTGCTTACGTCTTACGCCTTAACGTTTTTCTATGTGCCACGACTTAAATCCACGCAGGCCCTATATAGGGCCCACATTTTAACTTCGGTTTCGGCCAAAGAAGGGTGTTACGAAAAGGCCAGCTTTTACTGTGCTTGCGGAAAGTAAAATCGACATCGTTTCTTATAGTTGAGACGAGGAATCTAATGGTGCAGTTAAATAAATCACACGTCGGGAACACATCGAAAATTGAGTTTAAAGTCAAAAAAATGCGCGGCGGCGCATCGACACGTGCAGCATAGCGACTTATCTTGCGAATAATTGAGTTGCATTTACATTACTTTCCTCAAGCACAGTAAAAACCGGCCTTTTTGTAACACTCTTCTTTTTTTTGTGGGCAAGAATACTCTCGTGGAGTGGTTTGCCGGACTGTCGAGAGGAGACACGAGTGACTGAAAATATTTTGATTCTGCAGAGGGAATCTGGAACCTTTGGCTTGGCAGACCGGCACGCTCGCTCTCTGTAACAAATCTGGAAATTCAAAATTTGGGTATGATTATATGTACTATACTGGGTGATATACTAGCTGAGTTCCGTAAAGCCCACGATGTATCATTTTATCCTTGTTTAACACTCGATAAACAACAAGGAATTATTAATGAAATTATAACTACAAAATTAAATATATACTGCTATTCCCGCTAATATACAGGGTGTCCCCGTATAAGTGATCACCCCTTTTTATCTTGTAAACTAATAGAGATAGATCTAATAAGTATAATATCAAATTAAACGGCTCTGACTAAACTTTATTGTAAGCACAGTGACTTAGAAATATTATCTATGTTAGAGAGTGGAAAGACATGATTAATTTTTGCACGGTAACGTGACAATTTTAATATGATAAAAGTTATAGCGTTTGTTTTAACGAATACAACGATGTATGATATAACGAAATTATTTTACGAATTATAAGAGTTATTTTGGTTTAAAATTTTGCATAAAACATTTTTTGATATCTTGAATAATTTTTAAAATATAACAAAAAAATATAATATATTGGAATATAATATATTGTATATATATATATATATATATATATATAATAAATAATTATTTGATTTTCTTAAAAGATAATTTAAAAATTATCATTTTAACAGGTGATTAATACATATGTTACGAGAAGACAAATGCTGATTAGAACTTCTCTAAGATAATTTTTCGACAATCTTCTTCATAACAATAGGCATTCGATACTCATCAAGTACACGTGTCGCTTGTTATTGCATTTATGAAGTTTTCCACGAGAATCATCTTCAATTATTCTCGCGGTCACTGACCCGCGACGTCGTGCAGAAATAGACTTTCTACATTACAGCTGCATGTCCGACCAATCATCGCGTCGTTATCACAGATACACTTTTACTGATGTAATCCACGAGCTTCGAGAACAAGAAAAAGAATGAAAATGAAAAAAATAGAAAAGTAATGTGAATATAATGCGATATGGAGAAATAAAAAGAAAAGAAGAATAAATAAAAAGAAAAATAAGGAGTGGAAGAAATATTTAGAATAAGCCTTATCAGAAGGAGAAATGAAACCAGAACAAGATATTTGATAAATAAAGCGTATGCGTGTGTAATTGCATAAAAAGAATAATGCAAATAAAATGTTGAGCAACACGAAATACGAATAAAAGTGAATGAGGATATTAACTCTTTTTGCATTAGCAAAAAGTTCTTTTATATAAACAACAAAAACTTACCAATTTACTTTATTTTAATACAAAATTATAACTTCATAAATTAAAAAGCTTTTCTTGCGTGATACATTTATTAATGTACAAGTTGATATCACAATCACTGCGCTTAAAGCTTGATGTGTACCTATTTCTTAATATTCAAAGAAATCACTTAAAAAATTTTAGTAGCAAATATCGGTATATAATATGATTTTGAGAAAAACATTAAATTATAGTAGGAATAATAAAAAGAAGAAATAAAGATAAAAAAATAGAACATGCTAATTAAAACAATTGTAACTATTTTAAAAAAGTAGTATTTTGTTCATAAAAAAGATAAATATGTAAATGATCAATTGTTTAGTATATCGAAAACTATTTTAATAAAATTAAATCTTTTTTGTTAATAAGACATTATTAGAGAAAGAGGGGGGGGAGGAGAAGAGAGAAAAAGGAGAAGGGGAGATGGAGAATCAAGATCGGAGCAATGAAGGAAGAGAGAAATCGTGCTGCACGTGCAGCGAGTTGACGGCTGAAACGCGACGGCTGACCGGACATTGACCGGTTGAAAATGGTCAGCGCGTGGACGATGTATATAAAAAGCAAGAGAGAGAAGGAGAGTGCAATAGGCAGACAAAGAGAGAAAGGTAGCTCTGGAAAGAGCGGAAGATGCTGTCAAAGGCCTTGACGTACTAGACGCCAGGCGTCCTTCGGACGCTGGAGAACTCCTTGATGGTCTATTTCAACGTCGGCTCCCTCGACCCCTCTGCCGTAAGGATACATCATAAAATTGAACAAAGAATAAGTATATGACATAACCAGCTGATACCCGCGAGATACGTTGTACATATTCCAAGTGTGTCACAAGTAGAGTTAGATTGCACATAATATTTTTCAAGTGAAAAATAAATATCAATGTCTCGTTTAGTCTTTAAATGATTTTTGTTACGCGCTTAAGTTTCGTATTCTTTTCTTAAAGGTTTTTTATTATTTAATTACATATAATTTTCTGCGTGCATTTTTTTCATAACAAAAACTGCATACACGTTCTCTCTAAAAGTATATTAGTGAAATCATCACTAATTGTCAGTGTATATTATTTTCCAGTGGCATACTTAGAACTGTGATAAACAGTGACTATTTCAATGTCGCTTCAGTGATAATACACTGATTTAAACAGTGAATATCACTGAAGCGACATTCAAATAGTCACTGTTTATCACAGTTCTAAGTATGTCACTGAAAAAATGATATAGACTGACAATCAGTGATGATTCCACTGATTCACTTTTAGAGAGTTGATATTATTGGCCAACAAGTTAATTGATAATAATATTCTTCTCATCTTATTTGGCGCGATGTCACTCTCTGGAAGTGCGCAATGAACGAAAATGAAGTTGAGAAGAGAAAAAGAATGATCGGACAGCGATCTCGCAGATCGCAATTTCAAGCGACAAATTAATCGATGCACGCCACGCTAATCTCGCTTTGCGTGATAACAATCGTTTGACGATGATCTTTTCGCACTTTATATCCGCGCGATCAAGTATTGCCACCGCGCGTTAATCGCGCCTCCGTCGTATTTTATGCCAATCGTTTGCCATAATGTTCTTTTGATTGCCGCTATTTATCTATATCATAGTGGAATTAAAGCGCTCTAAATTCTAGTCTCCTCCCGCGGACGAGGACGACGTCTGGCCGGAGTCTGGGCACGGAATTATCTCGAGACAGGCCAGTCGGCCGCGTGGAATCTCGCGCCGCCGGGTCCTGGGCGTTTCTTCTCTTTCATTTCTTTCTGTTTTTTTTTTGCCCTGCCGCCGATGCTTTCTCTTTTATCTTGCCTCCCTTTCCTCCAAAACGAGAAGGATATGTAACACAAAATCGTATGCAATTATGCATGCCGCAGATTCGGACCGCCCCGCGCCCGAGTGACCTCGACCCGCTTCTTTTTCTCCTTCTTTTTCTTCTTCGGCTTCGCTTCTTTACGCGTGCGACGGCCAGACAATTATCATTGGTAGACTGATGATACAGTGAATTACACTTCTCTCCTTTCTTCCTCTCCTTTCTCCCATCGCGCGTGTCTCTACGCGAAAGACATGCGAAATATTGTTTGTCTTATATCGCAGCGATCAATTTAATTGTCTTAACGGAACAAATGTATATAATAAAATCGCGGCTTTTAACCTTTGAACGTCTGGAGAACATATATCTGAAAAGGATCTACCGTCCGTTTTACACGGTTTGATTGAAATGGTTATATAACAGTTTGAATGGAATAAAAATCTTTATTGCATGAAATATACACATATAAATTACAGTTACGTTATCGAAGTATACTTCGTATGGTATTTCTTTATTCATGCTCTCATAAATTATCTAGAAGGAAAGAAAAAGAAAATGTAGACATTGATATGCGTATACGGGATGAGTTATTTAACTTCTTGCGACATAAAATATATTTCGTGAATGCAAACACTATTACATCTTCGTAGACGCAAAATAATAGATCAATATATAGATGGTTATATATAAATGTATATTTAAGCAAAACTACAATTACTATTATTAAATTTATTATATAATTACTATTATTACTATTATTAACGGGATCCTTTGTAAATGAATTTACTGTTACGTCTCGTGAAGTGCTGATTTCTTCTTTACATCACATTTTTTCTTATCAAACAATTTTGTGTAAACTATTGCCGATTAACGGAGAACTGTGTTAAGAGTTTGTGTATACAAACTGACTTATTATCAATGATACATGTGTATGTAAGAAATGTAATTTGAATCGAGTCTAAACGGGTTTTCATCGATGTTTGCGAGACGATTATATAAATCCCGGAAAATTTAAAACTGTCAAAAATATTATTAAATAAATGTTATTTAATTAAATTAATTAATATTAATGTAAAACGATATAAGAGGAATCAAAATTCTTTCCTCTGTTAAATAATTTCACATAATAAAAAAATTCCCTAACAAAATTTGTAAGTACTCACAAATGGACGAAAATGATCGTCCAGATCTTGATCAGGTCGTGCAGGTGCCTTATCTGACCACGGCGCCGATCGTGCAGCAGCCGGCACGTGTTTGTCCCCAATATCTCTCGTTGCTTTGCGCTCTTTCGTTGTTGCAGAACTACCCGTGTGAATTTTGTAAGCACCAAAGTCGCTGAGTTAAACCCTCAGAATGGGTTTTTGTTAGTGGACTCAGCAATGTAGATATAAGTTGTGAATTACCCAAAAATTGACGTCACTTCGTCGATACACCGATCGGATCCGAGAGTTGAACTCACTGAAGTGTAAAACTATCATTCAGAATTTAGAGAGTGTGCAAGAATTCGTAATGCAATAAGTTAGCGATTTTATTACATCAGAACGATGGATTTAATGATTAATCAAGGAAAAAAATTACGCCTGACTGCTAATCACAACTTGCAATGATAACGTTTTTAATGTTTAAAAGCGGAAATGGATTTATTTTTAAGCGATAACCGAAAGATAAGACGTATTGATTTATATTTATTTAAAAAGACACATCGCGTGACGTAAATATGCCGATGTGTCCTCGATATAATGCTAGCGTAGCATTTTCTAACCCAGAAAAGAAGAAAAGTAAATATTGCAGCATTTTCTTGTAATAATATTTTATTCGGTTAATTTCTACTCATGGAGATTTATGCTACAAGAGGCAAATTCTCAAGGATATTGTTACAAGACAGGAGATTTGTAGGGGTAAAAAAATTGATGTTTTGATTATTGCGACTTTATAATCTTTAGGGATCGAATGGTTTTATTACACTGATTTTATTACAAAATTTATAAAATTGAGAAAGTTCTGAAAATCCGGCGCAAAAATTCAGCTTTACAAGTAATGGCACGCTAACAAATAACTGTTACGAACAGTTTTATTCTAGAAAGTTTCTCTTTAGAGATATATTATAAATTCTCCCAAAATTGAGATATACTGTGTATGTATATATATATATATATATATATATATATATATATATATATAATTTAATACTACAGATTCAATCTATAGAGAAAAGTTTTTCTTAAAACAAGGCCAGAAGATAGCAAATTGCTTCCTTGAAAGTCACGGAATGGCAAAACGCAAGACACTTGAAATTTTCAAAATACCTAAACAAGGAAAACTATGTTCATTTATTTCTTTCCCTGAAATAAATTTCTCTTTCAATTTGACTATACAAGCTTTCTGTCGTTCCTTAAAGCAGACACAAAGTCACATCCAACTTTTTTCTCTTTTTAAGTATTTATTTCTTAACGATAAAATAAAATGTTACTTTTATCGCAGTTAATAAATCTGTTTATCTTTCTTCTTTTGACTTTAATGTTTTTTAAGATATTTTTACGCTGATTTATGTGACAAAGAAATCTTCAATATGCAAAAAATGCAAACGTCGTCTCACGTCGACAAAGATTCATTGCTTTTCAAAAGCATTACATGTCATAAGACAGAAGACTGATCTACATATATTAATACTTTCGTTAAATACTTCGACGTGTGATCGTGTTTGATATTCGCGAACTCAAATAATAAAGCAAGACAGTTGTTTCAATTTAATCTTATCTTTCTAAAAAAAGATATTAATGCTTGTTGAAAATTGCTATTCTATGAAATTTATGAAAAATAAAAATTTATTTTGTTGCAAGGCAAATTTTTTTTAGTTGCTTTCTTTAATACTATTGTTAATTATATGTTTGTTAATTATATGTATTTTATAAAAAACATTTCATATGTACAGTAGTTATTAGAAATCAGTTTACAAAATATTTTATATTAAATATTAAATATTCTATATTAAATATATATATGACTTTATTTTTATTTTTATTTAGATAAATTTCAAGATTCAATCTTTTCGCTTTGTACAAAAGAATTACTTTTTGATTTATATAATCACTTTCTTTTTTACTCATCCTATATATGACTTAAATTATAAAATGTCTTATAAACGTAACATGATATTTTTATTTTCTATCCTTTTTACGATTTTTTGTTATTTTTAATCTTTAGACGAAGAAAACGCATTGTTTCGATTGTTACACGGGACGATTTTGCTGAAATATCTCAAAATTCATGCAAATACAACTCTAAAAATAATTTGATTGGACCATCGAAATAACTATGTAGAAAAAGCATGATGAATAATGCTGCAAAACATTTTGACATTCTAGCAATCAGCTTGAACGTCTTACATAATTATTTTGATTATACTGTGGAACAAAATTTGATTTTTTTTTTTGCATCACGAATGTAAATAGTCATTTCTGACGTATTTTTGTCTAAACACGAATCCGTTGACGAAAGTTGACGAAAATGATCACAACACAATTTTGAAGAAAATGCGGCAAAGAGGCAAACGAGGCGAAAATGGCGATTCATTTTTCTGAAAATTCTAATGTGATAACCAAGTTTTGCCAACGGATTTGTGTTCAGTAGGCAAAAATACCTATGTCGGAAATGACTATTCATACTCGCGCTATAAAATTCAGTTCCACAATGTTGTTAGTCCAATAAAATTATTTCCAGATCTGCATCCGGCTATTTTTAGAAAATTCTTAGAAAATATTTCAGCAAACCATTTCCGCGTACAAATAGGTTTTCTTTGTAACAATATTTTTTATGCAACCTATGCGGCAAGTAACGGCAGTATCGACGTATATATCGTTTACATCTATTTTCAGAAATAGTTTAGAACAGTCGACGACCGTTGCGATACTTTAACGTTTCAACGGAGTTCTACGCGTCGAATCAATCATAAAAGGGCTTACCTTCTTGCGTGCAGTTGAGCTGATAAGCGTTGCCGATGACGGGCAACGCGGTGGGATAGGGCACGTTCCTCAAAGCGTACAGAAATTTCCCACGTTGCGTTAACAGGACCAAGAAGAGAGACAGCAGGCAGGTGGACAGGAAAACAGTCACCCAGGAACCTCCTGAGAAAAGGACTGCCGTGACACTCATGTTGGATGCCGTTCTTCTCTCGAGGTTAATGCCGATTTTGTTTCTCAACTGGATGGTTGCACAGCGAAATTTTTCATGCAACTGGGTTTTGTATCTTTAGAAAAGCTGGGGAGTAGTCTCTCTGAGATCTACTGAAAAGATTCACACGGGAAAGATTGAGTCAGGCTTCTCTTAGTTTTCCGCGGTGAGATTCAATGTCTGTCGCCTCGGGCAATCGTAGAACGAGTCGAGAGATCCGATCCTGTCGCGAAGGTGTTCGCCGCGAGCGCGAAGGACACGCGATCTTAGATCAGGCAACGAGTACAAGTCGCGCGGGATGCAAAAGGAAAAACGATCTCGCGATCGCGAAGTTCACTGCGAGGCACCGCGGAAACGGTGAGAAGAGAAAACGTACTTCTCAACCCTGATGTGCGCGGACCGGTAGACGTGCGAAAACTGAGATTGCACCGCGTGATGCCGCGTCACACCCTTCGGTTATAATGCATGATCGGTGCGGAAGAGCCGCCCTTATATACACTACTGGAATGTGCTACACCAGCGGTCACTAATCTCCTCCGCCAATAGAATGGCGAACGCGCGCGCGCGCGTGTGTGCGTGCTACACGCGCGTAAATCGGAGCGTGTGTGCCCGTTAACGTGTACGATATACGCACGGAACATATACTGCGAACGGGACTCCCCGAAATACAGAGGAGTCTGGAGCGCGCGGAGCGTACCCCTCCGAGAGAGGCGCCGCTCGGCTTCTCTCCCTCTATCGCTACCACGGACCCGCTGCTAGCGATCTCGATCATCGGCTCACCTCAGAGACGAGAATTCACACGTGGTGGAAAGAGAGGGGAACGGACGAGAGTGGAAGGAAGGGCTTCTGCGCCGCCGTCGCCACCACCACCACCATCGCCGCCGACGCCGCCTCCGCTGCCGCCGCCGCCGCCGCCGCCGCCGTCGTCGCCGTCGTTGCCATTAACGCGATAATCGGCACTGCGTCGACGGCGATTCGGGATGACGGTGTCACGCGCATGGATCTCTGCCTTTGAACGCGGCGAGAGCGTTCCGCGTTCCGCGCCGATGTGGACGTACCGGGGGAGAACGCGCACAAAAAACGCACGCGAAAAGGGGGGTTCTTCCAATCTTGACAAAAGAAAAAGATGACCTTATCGCAGGAGGAACGTGTATGTGATGTTTAGTGATAATGCAAAGTATTTCTGATAAGTGAAGCCTCGTGTACGTCCACGCGTGTCGCGCAACCGTTCCGCTTGTCTCGCGGAATAATCTCCTCTTCATCCACTATACCTATAGATTTATCTCTCTTGATCGCCCGAAACGTGCGGACGTGCACGTAGCATTAAGGCCCGGTTTCGCGGTTAACTCGACTTGCTTTATCTTTTTCTAATCTAAGAATTAGAAAGAGATGAACAGTAAGTTAAACCGAGATTAAAAGTTAATCTTATATTTGTGAAATTGGGCTTAAATGAACGTACGGCACCCATGACTTTTCTTGCAAGAATGTGCTGATAGTGTAGCTTAAGAGATGAATAACTTGTGTTACATTTTTATAAATTTAATATTTATATATGCTGCATTTATATACTTATTATTATATGTATATGTTGCATTTATATAATTTCTGTTTAAAGAAACCTTTCTTATGCGAAAATAAGGAAAGTATATCTCGATGAAGCAGAATCGTTTGGTGTGTCTTGCGTGTATCGCCGAATCGTGAAGACAAGTAACGATTACGAAATTCGAAAGTGAATGCCGCCTTCATGTCACAATTCTTACATTCGTGAGCTTGTACACGCGATATTTATAGCTTACGATTTAGGTCAACGTACTAGTTTACTTCTCACGAGAAGAAAAGGATTTTTACACGTGGTTTTGCCGAGAAGAGAGGAATGACGCTTATACTATCATGTATTGTATATTTGATCAGTATTGTATTTAATTAGTCTTTCATTTATTATGACGTAAAGAAAAGAAAAAAACGGAATTAAGATTATGACTCACGGCAGAAAATGTTATCCGTACGCGACGTTACTTCATGATTGCACGGTGATTCTCAAGTCACCGATCGCGAGATATTATTTTGCAGCAACACACGGAAGAATGATTTTGTTGAAAAAACTAAAACTTTGTTGGAGGCAGATCTGATAACAATTTTATTGGAAACAAAAAATAGTTTATCAAAATAATTATGTTAGAAACTCAAGCATGAGGAGCAACACAAAAAATTTTCATATTTTAGTAACCAATTTGAGATTCCAATTACATAATTATTTTGATGGCCCGACAAAATTATTTTCACAGATCCGTGTTCAGAACTAAGTTTTAGATCCTTCCAGCAAAATCGATCTCCCTGTGCCATGTACCGGAAGATAGATCGAAACCTTCATTATTAATTTACTCTGTATTTATCTCCGACGAACACTTCGATCATCGTGACACTATCAGCTTGTTTAAATAATTATTACTATTAAATTAAAAAATTTATCTGGATTGATGATTGAACTGAAGGTATAAATAAAGTAGACTAGTGGGGCGCAATAATAAGTGCGCCCCACTAGTCTACTTATACTATATCTCAAATATAATTCTTACTACATTATATTACGCGAGTATATTTAGACTACATTTAGTTTCGGCATATAATTTTGGCCATCTTTAATAAAATTCATCTCGTTTCTGCTATTATGGAGAATCATGCGGCGATCCAAAGGATTCTATCTAAAGGATAATATCAAGGTTTCTATCACAAATAGTCCTATCACATTGTCCCACACAGTTAACTGGCTGAATGGAACTCAAGGATCGTGTGGATCCAAGCAATGCAGCAGACGTCTAAATGCATTCGCGTAATGTAATTTAATACGAATTATATTTGTGTTAAGATATTTGCTTAAGAGCCCACATTCCACTTACACTTGGTATTATTGAATTATTACATCCGCGTGAGTATTAAATTGCGCGCGTCTGGACCGTTTGCGCGTAGGATGCTATTTCGCTTGTTTTTTTCCTAATCCATTATTCATGATCTACATATACGTAACAGTTGACGTGATCATACATTTAGCTCTTGTATGCAGCCGCGTGTATTCAGAAGAAAGATGTAATTAGGTCCGAGTAACTGATTCCAACTAGACGTTTTCAAACCGATTAATTATATTATATGAACAATGTTACTTCAGTAAAACATTGATTCGCTAAATCGATAGAATTATTTCGATGAATCGTGATATCGACTTGATGAAGTCACTTTGTCCAAAATTATGTAGCTTCATATATTCATCACAATATTTTTCAAAAATATTATGCGTATTTTTTAAATCCATCATTCGTTTTTAATACATTTAACAAAATTATAAAAAAAAACATTTACAATACTAATCGTAAATTAATGATAAAACTTTTCGACAAAATCCACGGATTTTGTTAGGTCAACGAAATCCTTACAAGACAGTTAGATGCCACATATTTTTTGCTGTCACGCAAATGCTGGGAGTCTTGCTTTACTTTTGTCGACGGAAATGTTACGTAAATAGTACACTAATTAATAATACATAGGAGTCCGAGGGTATACAATGCGATTTTTCCTACGCTTTTCGCCGCGACGTGTCGCGTTCACAATCACTTCGCTGCATAATAGAGATGACTCAACGCCAGGTTAATCAGATGAATACATTTCGATCTATTTATCGTCATAATTTTATTGTCAACTATACCACGAGCTGCACGTGTTGGAAACATACTTAAATAACTCTTATCACTCTTCGTCAGCAAAACTGTCGCGTTGCACGAGACTTCGAGACTGAGAGGCTGGCAACATGAAGCTAGCTTACATATATTAAAGTTACTTAATAGCGTTGTCTCTTATTAGCTTTCTTATGTCATCGTTACAAAATACGAATCGACGACCTCGAAATGGTCAACCGTTACGAGAAATATAATGCCTTGTAATGTATAATCGTTTCGATTACAGGAAATAATTTTTTGTAAGTTTCAATAAAACTAATCAACCTTTGCGCTGCTACGCATACTTAATTGAGATTGCAGATCGTACATGTCAGAAGAAGATAAACAAGTACAGAGATTTATTTCAACGTTCACTGTTGAAATAAATTTTGTTGAATTAGACTTTGAGTCGAACGTTTTTTTTTCTTTCTTAAGAAAAAGACGAAAAAAGTGAAAAATTATGACATGTCGATTTCACTGATCATCATTAAAAAATAATGTAATCGTCAAATTTTATTGATCTCTATCGATAAGTGATAAAATATTAATCTGTGAAGCGATAAAAAATTTCAAAAGAATTAATTATATGCAGTATATACATGTATCACTTGAATTCTAGAAGCATAGAAATAAATGTTGAAAATAGAGCTATTGTCCTTTAAGGGACTTATAATCTTAAATTACTCTTTTTTTCACATTTTCTAATATATTTTTTCTTTGCGAGCAACTTTTAATCGCGATTATACTATATTTAAGCTGGAATCGGTTATTATTTAATTGACAACTTGATGCCAAAGGCATATATTTAACAACACGTTATCTTCCTGAAGTGTATTTTATTAGGTACGTTTGTACTTGGTTAATCTTTAATCTTTCTGATTTCAGCAAAAATTTCGACACTCATCGACCGGCGTCCCTGAACGATTCTCGATCGAACACTTCCGCTCAGCACGTGTGTTTCGTTCGATTATCTTCTGTACCTAGGTCACTCGCTAGACGGCGGCAAATCGCACATGTTCGAGGAAACAAATGCGAGACTCGTTACATCATTGATAATGATCGATCCATTGCCGTGTGCCACGTATACATGACGTAGTCGCGTCCTCTTCGCACATAAGCGTGAGCAATACGCGAATGATTGAAAGAAAAAAGGAAAACAGATTTTAAGATTAAACTTCCAATTGGTACTTTTCCCTAATCTTCACTTGTTATTCAACGATAGCGATTGTGATGCGACTTCGTTACGATCGTGGATATCAATTATCTTTTATGTAATCTATACGTATTCTGTCACTCTCTGTGCTCCGTATTGCTCCGTATTTGTTATATATACTTACGTTATACGCAACAAAAAATCGGAATTGAAAGCTTAAAATATCACAGCTTAAAGATATAAATTCGACTATTGATTAATTTTTAATCCATTTGCGCGTAATTTGCAAAATTATTTGTTAATACTTTATTTTATTATTAATTATTTCTTATAGTTATGTGAATTAAAATAATTATATAATTATAAAAATTTATATATTTTATATTTACCTTATGAATTACATTAACATATTTATATAATTATGAAAAATTTCTTTATAACCAAAGTGACATTTACATCTTTTTAAAACCATTTACATTTAATATTTTTTTAAATTAATTATAAATAATTAAAATCTCGAAAGTTTTAGGCAAAATTACGATATTTAACGCGTATTTAAAAATTTCCAATAAATATTTGATTTATTGGAAGATATTTATATTTTCTACCAAAATTTTATTTAATTTATCTCATTCAATAATTATATTGCTATTATAATTAATTATAATAATATCACAATTGTCATATCGATTATTTTATTTTGAAATATTTACGAATTACATTTTCGGAAGAATATTATAATTATGTTTCCTGACGGACACGAAATTTCGCTGAAATAATCATTATGAGAATTAAAAACAAGAGTAAAACATGGATACCAAAAATAA